CAGGGGAGGTTTAGAATGAGGATCAGGGAGAATTTCTGATGGAAAAAGTTGTCCAGCCCTGGCACAGCTGCCCAGGGCAGTGGTGGAGTCCCCATCCCTGGAAGTGTTGAAAGACACAAGGATGTGGCACCTGAGGGCGCGGCTTAGTGGTGACCATGGTGGTGGTGCTGATGGTTGGATTTGACAATCTTCAAGGTCTTTTCCAACCTGAACAATTCTGTGATTTGATGATTCTGTGATTTCATGTTGCTATGAGTTACAAAGAATAAATGATTCAACATTCATTCTAGAAAGTGTGGGTTTTGTCCCAGGCAGTGATTTTCTTCTCTCAGATAAGTAGAGTCACTGTCTTTTGGCACTTACCTATGGACATTTCAGTCCATGCCTGCTGAAAGCATTCTCAGAAAGCCTGGGAGATAAATGTGTATTCTGTGTGTTAAAACTCTGAGATCCTGGTAGAGCATTTGTTTAAAACAAGCATTGATTTCTTCTCTCGCCTATAGAGGGAAAATTTGCTGTGCTGACACAGAGCCATGGAATGGTTTGGGTTGGGAGAGACCTCAAAGCTCATCCCATGGCCAGGGACACCTTCCACTATCCCAGGTCCTCCAAGCCTCATCCAACCTGGCCTTGGGCACTTCCAGGGATCCAGGGGCAGCCACAGCTGCTCTGGACAGCACACTCCTCTGGGAGAAGGGATGGGTGGCCCAGCGAGGCTGCCATGGTTTGTATCCTGTGGGCAGAGCAGAGCTGGATGTGCACAGCTGTGGGAAGGAGGTTTGGGGCTGGCCAGCCCCAGATCTTACCTGCATAGGCCAGGAGAGCCGACACAAGCAGCAGCAGGACCCCAAGAGCCGTGCTGGGGATCAGCGGTGCCGCTCGCGCGGAGCTGTAGAAATGCACGGCCAGCAGGAGGGAGCCTGTGGGACACAGGGGGAAACACAGAGCCTGTAAACCTGGCCCAAAAACCTGGGGAGAATCAGGGCGGACAGAGCAGGGAAGAGAGAGAAAATAATAGTGCAAGATCTGCAAATAGGAAAGTCAAAAGAGCTGGGGGAGTGTGGCTTGGTTTGTGCCCAAGGGCTCACTTCTTCCTGTGTGCCTGGTTTGAAAAAGTTTGGAATTAGTCACTTGAGGTTGCCCAGAGAGGTTGTGGATGCTCCATCCCATCAAGGTCAGGTTGGATATTGGGGCTTGGAGCAGTTGGGTGCAGGGGAAGGTGTTCCATGGCAGGGAATGGAACAAGATCATCTTTAAGGTCCGTTCCAACCCAAACCATCCTGGGAATGTATGAAAGAGTCTGAAAGTGCTCCCCTGTTGCCAGATAAAGGTAAAAATCCATTATTCCAGTTATACAAAAAGCAGACAGACAACACACCCTGCAGCAGATCCCTCCAGCCTTGTACTGAAGGAAAACCGGCTGAAAAAATCCAGGAAGATGGAACACAAAGGAGGAGCAAGTGAAAGGGAGTGAACACAGAAAACAGAGCTGTGGGGAGAAGGGCTGGAAAAGGAAGGGGAGGAAACTGCATCCAAACCAAGATGATTTACTACAGTGACTATAAAAAAAGTTTGGATTTGCTTCCCTCCCAGCGTGGAACAAGTACAAAACTTCAGGCCAGCCCTTGGAAGCCAACACAAATATTTTGTTGGCCGCCAAAGCAGGCGCAGGGATCTCTGGATAGAAAAGCTCACCCCAGGCAGAGAAGCCTGTGGATAAACAGCCTCCTGAGCCCCCTCGGAAAAGGAGGGTGTCCCGGAAAGCTCGTCCCGAGCCCGTGTCCCCTGCCAGGATGCCAGGAGCGGTCCCTACCTGCGGAAATGCCCAGGAGCCCGATGCAGGAATGCAGTGACTCAGCCCCGCTGTCGCCCATCCCTGCGCGCCCAGCCCCGGCCGAGGGCTGAGTGCTGCCTCTCTTTCCTCCCATGCTCTTTATAACCAAACCATCGCCGCTGCCGCCGGTCCTCCCTGCTCTCCACCCCTTTTCCCTACAAACCTCTTCTGTTCCTGCTGCTCTCTGCATGCGGGAGGAAATGCAAATGAACTTCTGGCTGCAGTAAATTTGGGGCTGTGAGTCAGCGTGGGCTGCTGGTAGCTCCCTCCAGGGGCCTCTTAATTTTACTGTTGATTAACCCTTGTTCAAAAAGACACTTGAAAAATAAGGCTGAGGGTTTATTGCAGTTGCTGCCTTTTTTTGCTCCTGCCAGTGAGGAAATGACACTGGTTAAAATGAAAGTTTTTGCAAGCATCCACCTTGATGGAGCAAACAAGCCCTCTGCAAGCCCAGCAGCTCCTTGGGGACCACTTGTTTCTGCTCACACTGGCCACGGGCCTGCTGTTTGTCCCTGTCTCAGCTCTGAATGCCTGGCACCAGCCCCCTGAGCTGGGCAAACCCAGGGCAGACTCAGTGCCATTCCCTTAAAGGTGACTTCTGTCCATCTGCCCCTCCACATCCAGCTCCTCCAGCCATGGGGAGCCTCACTGGCTTTCCAGGTCAGCAGTGAGTGTCCAGCACTGCCAGGATTGTGTCCCAAAGGGGACATGAAGGACCTGTGGGCAGCTTCCTGCTGCTCCTCATGGGGAATGCGTGGTCAGGGCACAAAGGTGTTTGTGGATGGAGGGAGGCTGCAGAAAGCATTGGCCTGGGGATCGTGTTGAGTCATGGCTTGGGTGGGAATTGTCAGATGACTATTCTGTGAGAGCTGACAGAGCTTGGTTCCTCTGTTGTGTTGTTTGTGGGGATGGAGCAGTGTAGGGACTGCTCCCTCGGGGGACTCAGCTGCAGTTAAAGCAAATCCCACTCTCCTGACAAGGTAAAAGGTGTAGAATAGCATGCAGAGCTGGTACTCTTGGGCTGCCCAGGGATGGCTCAGCAGAGCTCCTCCAGCAGCCAGCTCTGATATTTCCCTCAGCAGATCCTGCTCTGTGATTCTCCATAAATCCTGTTCCACAGCCAGGGCAGGAGACCAGGAAAGCTGCTGGGAATGGGGCTGGGAGCAGCACTGGCTGAGCTCACATCACTGGCTGAGCTCACAGTCAGGCCTGTGGGATCATCCAAGGGGTGTTGGAGCTGGGACAGCATCCAGAAGAACCCCAGAGCATCAGGCCCTCTGCTCATCAGGAGCCTGTTCCTCCTGCCCTGAGGAGGAACAGGATCCAGCTGGGTCCCCTTCACTGCCACAAAACTTTCCTGGTATCTCTAACTGTGCCCACCCTGCAGGAATAGAGTCCCTTCCCACCCCTCCTCACTAGAACCTTAATGCAGATTAAAGCCACTTCTTAATACCAAAGCCCACAACAAAGGTGTACAGCCAAAGCCATCCAGGCTGGAATAACCCAGCTGAGAAATGTCATTTATCATTCATCTCTCCCTTGCAGAGACATCTTTAGGGCTGACATGTCTGTTGTGACAGATGTTTTCCCAAGGGGAGGAAGCAAGCCTGGCTGGTCCAGTTGCACCAATTCCCCCAGTGATGGGAACCAGCCCAGCCAGTTTACACCAGGCAGGTGTGGCTGATGTGGTTTGCAGCAGGCAGGCTGTGGGAATCCTCAGCCTCTGGCTACTTTTGTTCCATGGCTAGTGGGCCTGCTCCTGAAGCAGCTGCAGGAAGGAGAAATTATCTGCTCAGGTTGCAACATCACTTAGTTGTTTTTCCATGCAAGAGGAAATAATACACCCCTAAACCATAGTTAGGATTCCTTAGATAGCAAAACAAAAACAGGGGAAAGGCTTTGGGTGTTTTTTATGCATATCTCAATTTAATTCCTGCTCTGGGCAATAAAAGTAACTGAGAGGCACAGTCTGGGTTGGGTTAATGGGACTGCAAAGCCTCTGTCACACATTTCTTGTTCCTGCTTGTTCAGGTAGCAGCTGGGTGCCTGAAATGCCTCCTTTTGGGAGAAACATACCATAAATGAAGTCCCAAGCAGCAGCAGTGAGCCTCCTCCTCAGGTCTGCCCTGACTGAACACCTTGCCAAGCCACGAGTTCATCACCCACAGGATGTGCTTCATGTCTCTCCCAGAAATGACAGAGCCCCAAGGAACATGTCTTATAAATAACCCCTGAAAAACACCCTGCAGCCATGTTCTGGGAGATTTTTGTTCTCTCAGCCTCCACAGGGCACAGTTATTTCACCAGGGCCAGGCTGAAATAGAGAGGTACAGGATCATCTCCATGAGAGCAGAGCCAGAGTGGGAGGAAAGAGCTCCAGACACTGAATCTGGCTCCAGGAGCCCCTCCAGAGCTCAGGGCTCCAACAATTCCCAGTGCCACGTCCCTGGAATTAAATAAATGGAGAGATGGTGCTGTTGATGAAGAATCCCCTTATTCCAGAGATGAAGAAGTGCTTGGACAATGCTCTCAGGCACAGGGTGAGATTGTTGGGTTGCCTGTGCAGGGCCAGGAGTTGGACATTGTGAGTTCCCTTCCAACTTTTCTAAACTCAGAGTGCAAAAGCCAGCCAACGACTGCAGCAAAGTGTAAAATATCCACTTTTGAGAGATGGGATCTGAGGGAAGGAACATTCAGGATCCAAAAAGGAAATGTTGGTGTTAAAAGTCTGGAGCAGCCTATGCAGTGCAGGGTTCAAAGAATGGGTCAGAGAGGGGAATGCACTGGCTGAAATCCTGGCTCGCTTTGATACCATCTCCTGTACAAAGGTTTTGGTGCTTCAGTCTGAACTAGAATGGAAAATCAACAGCCGAGGAGGAAAAACACAGCTGCTCTGTTGAGCAGGGCATGTCAGCTGGGGCTGCTCTGCAGACAACGTGCTGGGAGGAAGATCTGTAAGGGAGCAGCCAGTTGAGGAAACAAATAATATTTATATGCCCTGCCTGTGGAACTGGAAATAAAACCTCCCTGCCAGTAAGAAACGGAGCCCAGCCCTCGGGGCCCCACCTGCTCCCGGGGAGGGCTGTGGCTATAAAGGGCTGGGGCAGCGAGCAGAGCTCACAGCGGCCGCAGGGGCTCTCCGGGGACTCCGCTGCTGCCGGGGACCATGGCCAAGCGGGTGGCCGTGCTGCTGGCGGGCTGCGGCGTGTTCGACGGCAGCGAGATCCACGAGGCGTCCGCGGTGCTGGTGCATCTCAGCCGGGAGGGGGCTCAGGTAAGAGGCACCGGCACGGTGCTGCCCGGGCTCCTTGTCCCGGCTCTGCTCCTCATCTCTTCCCTCCTCAAAACTCCCCAAAAGCCAAGCAGCGGTGCCTGGAGTCACTGGGAGTGTGGAGAGCTCCCTGCGCAGCTGGGCTGTACACAGGGATTGGTGCGGGGCTCTGCATCCAAATCCTCAACAGACTTTCCTGAGTGCTGCTCTCTTCACTTCTGGCTTCACATCCTCTTTTCTCTCCTGCTATTTCTGTTTAAAAGACAGTTTGGGCTGTTTGAAATTCATCTTTTTAAAACATTCAAAGAGTGGAAGTGAAAACAGAATCAGAGAATCCCAGAATGGTTTGGGTTGGGAAGAACTTTGAAGCTCAGCCATTCCCATCCCTTGCCATGGGCAGGGACACCTTCCACTGTCCCAGGCTGCTCCAAAGCCCGTCCAGCCTGGCCTGGGACACTTCCAGGGATGACAGAACAGACAGGGGTGCGTGAGTTAAACCTGAGTGGTAAAAAAGGTGCAGCTGCTCTAAAAGTCGGGAGAGCCGCTCCGTGAGACTGGGGAAGGAGGGAGGGAAAGCCTCTGGAACATCTCACTGAGCTGTGAACCACCCACGGGACTGGTCGGAGCCGTTCCCCTGGGAATGGGAATTGCTGTGTGGAACACAGAGGCACAGGGATGACCTTCCCGTGCCAGCCCCCCCAATTCCAAACCATTCCAACCCTGCCCTCGCTGTTGGCCCCAGGATGAAACTTGGCCAGACGTGTGTAATTTTGCCTATTCCTCTCCTGGAGCTGCTGCAGTGCTTCCCTGCTGCCGTCTCCCAGCCCAGCAGGCTCGGAGCCCGTCTCTCGCTCATCCCTGGATCGCCGGGGGCCTCTAGTGGAGGAAACTCGAGCGTCATTTCAATCTCTCTAAGGTCAGCGTAGAATGGAGTATTTCAGCTGCAGGGGAGCAGAGCTCTGTACCTCCCTCTCCACGGGAAGCTGCCATGAGGTTGCCTCTCAGCTTCTTTGTCTCCCACCTAGATAATAACAAAGTCCTCGGCTGCTCCTCACAGGACATTCCTTCCAGCCCTGCCCTCCTCGGGACACTTTGGTGTTCCTTAAATCCTGCTTAAATTTTGGGGCCCAGAGCTGCACAGATGGGCCAGTCCCAAAATCTGTTCACCACCCTCCACTCTTAATTTCTGCATATGAACTTGAAAGTGCTAAAGGAAGGGAGAGCATTTTCCAGAAAAACACTCTGGCTTTGGGAAAGTTGGTAGGGAGAGGAAACTCTAAGTTCTGTCCCAGTGGGAGATGGGGTGGGACAGCAGCTCTCTGGGTGGTCATCCTGCAAGTGGGATTTATTGGGATATGGATGGACTCTTCAGCCCCCCAGAGAAGCACAAGTTCTGGGCACAAACTACTGAAAGTTTCCTTCCTCCCTTCTGTCCTTCCTCCACACCATCTCTTTCCCAAGAAAGCCCCTCAGCATTCCCACTCACTGCCTGTGCCTTTCCACGTTTCTCCATCTGAAGGATAACAACCCTCTCCCCTCACTCCAGGCTGAGGTTTATGCTCCCAACATCCCCCAGATGCACGTGGTGGACCACGTGAAGGGGCAGCCCACGGCGGAGCAGCGCAATGTCCTGGTGGAAAGCGCCAGGATAGCCAGAGGCAACATCAAGGACCTGGCCACGCTGGATGTCAAGGGGCTGGACGCCCTCATCATCCCAGGTAGGGCTGTGTGGGATCTGCCTGCCACAGCTTGGACATTCCACAGGTCTGGGTGGGCTTGGGAGTCGTGGGATGGAGGGGGACAGGCTGGAGCAGGGCTTGGAAGGAGAGCCAATTTTAGTTCTTTTCTTGATTCTGGACTGTCATAGACATCTTTTATGAAAAATGTTTTCCTTAGGATTTTTCCACCTGAGAAGCTGGGAGGCCTCAGGAACAAAATGCAAACAATGGTTATCTGCTGCTGTGGAATGCAACAGGTGCATCTGTGATTGGTCTCATGGGGTTGTTTCTAATTAATGGCCAATCACAGTCAGCTGGCTTGGACTCTCTGAGACACAAGTCTTTGTTATCATTCCTTTTCTATTCTTAGCCAGCCTTCAGATGAAATCCTTTCTTCTATTCTTTTAGTATAGTTTTAATATAATATATATCATAAAATAATAAATCAGCCTTGTGAAACATGGAGTCAGAATCTCGTGTCTCCCCTCATCCTCAGACCCCTGTGAACACCGTCACAGTTGGCCTGTTCCATTCCACAGCAGCAGATAACCATTGTTTACATTTTGCTCCTGAGGCCTCTCAGCTTCTCAGGAGAAGAAATCCTAAGGAAAGGATTTTTCATAAAAGATATCTGTGACACTGGACAAATGCTGCCAACCATCCAATCCACATGAGCATTCCACCATGCCACACCTGGCAAAAATCCTGCCCTGGAAATAATCTCCAGCTAAACTCTTCTTTCTCTTTCCTCAGGTGGCTTTGGGGTGGCAAAAAACCTGAGCACTTGGGCCACGCAGGGCAAGAACTGCAGCGTCTCCAAAGAGGTGGAGGCTGTACTGAGGGCGTTCCACGCTGCCCACAAACCCATCGGGCTGTGCTGCATCTCCCCAGTGCTGGCAGCCAAAATCTTCCCGGGCTGTGAGGTCACCGTGGGCCACGACACGGAGTGTGAGCAGTGAGTGACCGGGGGGGTTGGGGACACTCACACCAGGGTCCCCCCCAAAGTCCCCAGGGATCCTGGCCAGGGGGTGGAAGCTCACAAGGAGCTGAATGCTATTGCTGAGAACTCAGCTCTGCTGCCTCCAGTGAGGCCTTCAGCAACTCCAGCCCTTTTGGGGACTGAACAGGGAAAAGTAGAAATTCTGGAAGACTAATTTTATCCTTTCTCAGCACAGCAGAAGGAATGATGTAACACCTGACCTGTTTGCATTTTCATGACTTGTTTCCACAACTCTGATGGCTTTGAATAAGACACTTTATTTTAAATTAATTATTTACCTCCCTGATGCCTCACAGACCCAGGGTAGGAAAAGCCTTTGCTGACTCCAAGCTAAGCAGGTCCAAGGCAGGAACAGGATGGTTACCAAAGGCTTGGGGTGGGAAGAGAAGGAGGGAGTGAAACTGTTTTCAGTCCTACAGGGAAGCTGTGACTGGATTCTCCCAAGGGCAGGCAAGGAATGTTGATGGTTTTTGCTATGAAGGAGTTTTTTCACTAACTTGGAGGAAGCTGGTGGAAAAAACCCACCCTAAACCTAAATCTAATTGTTGCTCAGGGAAGCTGTGGCTGCTCCATCCCTGGCAGTGTCCAAGGCCAGGCTGGACAGGGCTTGGAGCAGCCTGGGACAGTGGATGGTGTCCTGGGCATGGTAGGAGTGGCACTGGGTGGGCTTTGGGGTCCCTTTTCACCCAAATCTTCCCAGGCTCCTATTAACATGAGCACTGGAGTGGGCAGAATTAGGTACTGGAACATCCAAAGTGGAACTTCAGGTCTCATTTTGGTCTTACTTCAGATGTTTAACTCATTTGAACAGGAGGTTTTCCTGTTGTATAGTCCTGGAGAAACTCCTCAAGCAGGAGATTTGGATCCTGCTGAGCAGGTTTTGTGCAGTGACCACAGAATGTTGCCTCTGGCCCTTCCCCAGGCACAGCATGAAGAAGTGTGGTATTCACATGCCCCCTGAACAGAGAGGAGCTGTGACACAAGCAGAGAAGAAGGAAAACACAATTCTTATCTTGCTTGCTGTGCCTGTGTTGTGCTAAAGCAGAATGCAATATGGAGACTGTTTGCCCAAAGTGAGGATGTTTGGTTCCCTTGGCCTGTCAGGGCCAGGTGTGTGTGTGGGGGACTGTCACAGGAGAATCAGAGATGAGGGCAGTGCGAGCAGTTGTGAGCAAGAGTGAGTGCAGGGCAGATTCAGTTAGATGAAATGTATATAGTATAGTATAATATATAAAATTAAATAATATATAAAATTAATTCATTAGCTGTAGGAGCATTGGGGGATAGGACAGTGAGGATGGAAACGAGAGATCTCTGCAGCCAGGTCAGGAACTTGTGGTTTATTGCAAAGGGCCTGGGTGCAGGGCCCTGCTGGGAGCTGCCAAACACAGCTCAGAGCAGGCTGAGAGAACAGAGGGGGAGAGAGGATGAGGGGGTGAGAGAGTAAAAGGGTAAGAGACCAAGGTTCCCATTACAATACCATAAATCTTCTTCTGTGTTGAATATTTTAATTCTCACTACCCAATCTAGTACAATATACAAATCCTATAGCATTTACATACTGCCTATAAGAATCATTACATTATACCATATTGTGTTACATTTTAAACCCTAAAAACTCCTCTTTGGGCCCCTTCTGCCAAGCTGTAGGGTCTGCTCTGACCCTTGGGCCTGTCTGCAAGCAGAGGGTGTTGTTCCATCCAAAGGGGATTGCCTTCAGCTGGCCACACCATTGTTTTCCAGTTGTTCAGTAACTGAGGTATCTCAAAGCTTGCTTTCATTTCAATCTCGCTTATAGCTTCCATATTCTCAAAATCTTTTGCCAGACAATCATATTTATAAGGCTTCCTGTTTCATCTCCCCAACAATTATCCTCCTGATGATGGAGTCAGATGCATCATTCTCTCTCCCCTTCATTGGAGTCGCCTTTGATTTACAATAAAGGAGGTTCCCCACTCCAGGTTTTCCTTCCCCGTTCCCCTGCAGGTGGCCTTATGCCAAGACTGCCGAGGCCATGAAGGAGCTGGGCTGCAGGCACATCAACAGCCAGGTCACCGAGGCCCACGTGGACGCCAGGAACCGCCTGGTGAGCACCAGCGCCTTCATGTGCAACGCCCCCATCCACCAGGTGCACGACGGCATCGGCAGCATGGTCAGGGAGGTGCTGCGGCTGGCCTGAGCTCCCGCAGGCACCCAGCCCCTCCCCTCACACAGCAACAGCCAAAGGGACACTCTGGCTCTGCCCCAGAGCTCCGGTGGCGGCTGAGGAGGGACAATCCTGGAGGTGGCGTGCTCTGCAAAGGACACGTCACTCCCTGGCGGGAGCTGGGCTGGAGCTGCCCTGGGATCGTGGGATGGGAGGGAGCTCAAAGCTCATCTTGTGCCAGGCTCCTCCCATGGACAGGGACGCCTTCCACTGGCCCAGGCTGCTCCATCGGGCCTTGGACACTTCCAGGGATCCAGGGGCAGCCACAGCTTCTCTGGGCACAGGGAGGAATTCCATCCCAAAATCCCACCTATCCCTGCCTCAGGCTCCCCAGGGCTCAGGGTCAGCTGCCCCCCAACCCCTCCCTCAGGCAGTGAATTGTGCCACAGGAAGGAACCCAGCTCTGCTACCAAATAAAACCTGATGCTTCTACTGAATTCAGAACTCTGCTTCTGTGTCTGCCTCTCCCTCCGGATCAGGACAAGCTCTGGGTCAGTTGGGGAAATGATACAGGAAGAAATCCCCAGCACCAGCCCCTCTCCCTTGTTTTGCTGGGATTTGTCAGAAGCCAGACTGGAGCAGGAATGTGACACTGGTGAGAGCACGACCAGCCCATGTCACAGCCAGCTCTGGTGGGAAGAGGGGAAATTCTTCTCCTGCATTAACAGGAGCAGAGAATTCCAGGTTGGAAGGGTCTCAAGGCTCACCTGGTCCAGCCTTTCTTGGTAAAATGCTGTCTAGAGAAGATGTCCAGCAGCCTGTCCTGATGGATCCCAAAGCGCCCAAACTCAGGGAATCCACCACTTCCAACAGCTGATTTTCTTATGGTGAACAATTGTCCCAAGGTGCCCATTCAGAATCTCCCCAGGAGTGTCCTGTACAGATTATCCCTTGTCCTTTCCATGATTCCTCATAAAAAGGGAGTTTCCTTCTCCTTTGTAGCCATCCTTCACATACCAAACATGGTGACAAGATCTCCCCTAAACTCTTGTTTTTCCAAGTCTCAGCTCTCTCAGCCTTTCCTCACATGGGAACTTCCCAGGCCTTGGATCATCTCTGTGGCCTCTAGATCCTCTCCAGCCTGGCCACATCTTTTTTTGGCAAAGTGGGGATCAAAACTCTTTCCTCAACTCAGATGGCTTAAAAATAAGATTTTATTTGAAATCCTATTTGCAGCCTCTGAGCATTCCTGCAAGCACAGAGCCCTCAGCAGCAGCACTGGGAATTTCCTTCTGCAAAGATTTCCTTAGCCATGTGAACTGAACACAAGGTAAATTGCAGCAGTTTATTTTTATTTTGAGTTTAAAGAATGCCCTAGAAAAGGGGGGGAAGGGATAATCCCATAAAACAGGTTGTAAGAAGGTGGTTCCTGCAAATATGTCATAAAAAGAGTTCACTGTAGGCCCAAACCAAGACATAAACTCAAAATGGATTTACAATGAGCAATAGATTGACACTGATTCTGAGTCATCTCTTTACCAAACTGAATTGTTTGGACCCATTTTTTAGTCAGAAAAGGATCTAAATTTGGTCCCAAAAATGTGATTTGTGTATTCAAAGCAGTGTAAACATCATAACCAGCAATCACGTTGCTGCTTGTAAACAGAGTGGTGCAAACTGGTCCCAAACACCTTTAAAATTAAAAATTTTTTACACAAAAAACTTCCCACAGAACTGACCTGTATTTTCTGCTGCCTCCAAAGAAATCAAGACACCACAAAATGAGGCTGCCATTCCCTAAGGAATGTACACAAATCCCACTGGGTTCAGTACAGGCCAGTCTTCTTCATGATCCTCAGGAATTCCTGCTCGCTCACTTGCCCGTCCCCATCCCGGTCTGCCTCATCAATCATCTCCTGCAAGAGATTTGGGGTCAGCCCTCAGCTCTGGGCTTTCCTGGGAATCACTGCATTCATTCATGCAGAATTCCAGCCACTCTTTAGCTGTGCTGGAGGGGACAGTGTTGGCTCAAGCTCAGACAAAATATTTCCTGAAATCTGTTTTGGTGGGGTATTTATAGAGAAATCTGAGCAGGAAATATTATAGGGAAGGTGCTGGGGGAAACCAAGTGCTTGGAGCAGAGTGATTCCTTTCACATCTCTGCTGTTGCAATGGATGATCCCAATCCTACATCCATGTGGGCTCAACCCATCCTCAACCTCAAACCCCACAGATTCCAGGAATCCCTCCCTTCCCACCAGTGCTGGATTTTCCTCCCAGCTCCAGCACAAAGACCCCAAAAGCACCAGGTCCAAACCTGCAGCTCTTCATCAGTGAGGTTCTCCCCCAGCACTTTGGCCACACGTTTGAGGTTTTGGAAAGAGATTTTTCCAGTCTCATCATCATCAAAGAGTTTGAAAGCTTTGAGAATCTCCTCTTTGGAATCTTTTTCAGCCTTAAGGAAGAAAGAACAAGTTTAAGGTAACACAGGAGTGGTTGTACTGTAGGTGACACTCAAAATAAAGTTATAAAAGATCTGATAGACTGAGAAACCCTTGGGGACAAATAAAGGAGCTCAACCAGCAGGGATTACACATAAAATTCAGAATTCCAGAATTTCAGGGATCTTTTTTCTGTCCTTGCCAGCCAGATATCTTTGGGATTTCACTATCAGGGTCCCCTGCTATTAAATATCTGGATTTTGAAAAGATTTTTCAAACCAGAGATTTAATCTGTAAATTAGAATTCAAGGAAAGGGAACACCCCCATGCCAGACTCAACCCTCCAAAAGCTTCCTGCAGGCCTGAGCTGGTTTCCCACTGTGAGAAAAATTTGTTTTCCCTTTTTTCAACACAAAATTCACCTCTGCTTGTTAAAGAAACCTGTTAATGATATCAGGATTTTAATTTTTCTTTGAAAAATGAGAGAATCCAGGATGGGGATTACCCCAACTTTTATACATTTAATTGTTAGGATTAAAATATATAGAGCTTTAATCTCCCTGTAAACCCAAAAGGAGATAAAGGCTCCTCGTCCACCTTCAAAATTCCCTTTGTTTGGGGCTGTGAAACATCCATACCATTCTCTGTGACATCATTGCCAGGAAGTCACTGAAGCTGATTTTTCCTGTCCCTTCCTTATCGATGTCTGAGATCATTTTCTTGATCTCTTCTTTCTTAGGTTCAAACCCCAGGGCCCTCATGGCCACCTGGAAGGACAAAATAAGTTACAAATCCTACAAAATTGTCACCAAAACCACAGGAGAGGGGGAAAAGTTTCCAAAGTTCTCCCAGAAAACAGGGGCAGGCTGAGAGAGAGGCTGCTCTGTACTCACATCAGGATGCAGAAAACAGAGATAGAAACATTCCTGTTCTGGAATTTTAACTCAGCTAATCCAGGAATTTCCTACACACACTCTCACCATCTTTAACTGATCAACCACAAGGAATTTAAATAAGTTTATTTTTCATTCTGGTGATAAAAATCTTGTTGGGAAAACCTTCCTTTGATAAAGGGCCAGATAATAGCAACAACAACAGTAACAATAATAACAAAGCATAAAATCCTCAACAAGAGGGGAACCCCTCCACCACTTTTTTAATAGGCACAAACATTTTTATGATGTTTTATGCACAGAGAAGGATCTGGGACACAAAGCACAGAATTATACCTGAATTTTGGGCAGCCTAGCCCTAAACACACTGCAAAAGAGCAGTAAAGAGCTGCAATTAAAGAGAAAACCGTGCCTTTTGCCCACCAGGTGTTCTGCTGGAGGGAGGAGGGGGAAATCCAGGAAACTTCAGTGCTTTTTAACGTTATTTGAGCATTTATGGCCCTGTTCCGTTATAACCTCAGTGACTTCCACCGCCAGGGAAACCCCGACCTTCAGCTCCTTGACATCGATGCTGCCGCTGCCGTCGGTGTCGAAGAGCTCGAAGGCGTCGCGGATCTCCCGCTGCTGCTCCTCGGGCAGCTCCAGCTTGGGATTCGCCTTCTTCCTCTGCGCCGCGGCCGCCAGCGACGGCTTCTTAAAGCCGCAGGCCTCGGCACGGGACAGCGGGGTCGGGGGGGGAATGGGGACTCAGCCCTGGCACTGCCCCGGAGCCCCCGGCAGAACCCGGAGCCCTGTCATGGTCCCCGAGTGCCCCTGAGCCCCCGGCAAAACCCAGAGCCCCAACACAGCCCCTGAGCCCCCATCATGGCCCCTGAGCCCCCCTCCACAAACCCTGAGCCCCACCATGGCCTTTGAATCCCCATCACAGCCCCTGAGCCCCCTCAGTGCCCCTGAGCCCCCATCACGGTCCCTGAGCCCCCGTCTAAATCCTGAGCCCCCGTCACAGCCCTTGAGCCCACTCAGTGCCCCTAAGCCCCCTCATGGCCTCTGAACCCCCATAACGGCCCCTGAGCCACCCTCACTGCCCCTGAGCCCCATCACGGCCTCTGAGCCCCCCTCATAACCGGCAAAGCCCAGAGCCCCCTTCATGGCCCCTGAGCCCCATCCACAGCCCCTGAGCCTCCTCACAGCCCCTGAGCCCCCCTCATGGCCCCAAGCGCCTCCTGAGTGCCCTGAGCCCCCTTCACAAACCCTGAGCCCTCCTCACTGCCCCTGAGCTCCATCATGGCCCCTGAGCCCCGTCCCTGACCCCTGATCCCCTGTCACAGCCCCTGAGCCCCCAGCACAGTCCCTGAGCCCCCTCAGTGCTCCTGAGACCCCTCCACAAACCCTAAGCCCCATCATGGCCCCCGAGCCCCCTCACAGCCCCTGAGCCCCCAGCAAAACCCTGAGCCCTGTCACTGCCCCAGAACCCCCTCATGCTCCTGAGACCCCTCCACAAACCCTGAGCCCCGTCATAGCGCCCTGAGCCCTCATCACGGCCCCTGAGCCCCACCATGGCGCCTGAGCCCCCTCAGTGCTCCTGAGACCCCTCCACAAACCCTAAGCCACATCATGGCCCTTGAACCCCCATCACAACCCCTGAGCCCCCAAAAAAACCCTGAGCCTTGTCACTGCCCCGGAGCCCCATCATGGCCCCTGAGCTCCCTCACAGCCCTTAAGTCCTCCTCAGTGCCCCTGAGCCCCTTCATGGCCCCTGAGCCCCCTCCAGTGTCCCTGAGCCCCATCACAGCCCCTGAGCCCCATCACAGCCCCTGAGCCCTCTTCACAAACCCTGAGCCCCCCTCACTGTCCCTGAGCCACCTCACAACCCCTGAGCCCCCATCACTGCCCCAGAGCCCCCATCACAGTCCTGGAGCCCCTTTCAAAACCCTGAGCCCCCTCACAGCCTCTGCGCCCCAACCACAGGTCCCGAGCCCCCTTCACAAACCCTGAGGCCCCCCACAACCCCTGAGCACCATCACAGCCCCTGACACCCGTCACAGTTCTGGAGCCCTCTCCAAGCTTCTGAGCCTCCTCAGCCCCCCTCAGTGCCCTCCCAGCCCCTTCAGCGCCTTCGACGCCCCCTGACCGCTGCCGAGCCCCTCACGGCCGCTCCCCGCCCTCACCATCCCGCCGGCTTCACGCCCGGCAGCCTCAATATCGCGCCCTTCCATTGGCTGTCGCCCCCACGCCGCTGCTATGGCAACGCGCGCTCCTATTGGCTGGCGTAATGGCGGAGCCAAAGGTGAATGAGCTCGTGGGAGAATCCCCTCCTTCCTTCAAGGCGATTGGTCAGAGTGAAGGAGGGTTAGACCAATCAGCAAGCGGGAGCGGGCTGGCGCGATGCTCGCCCCAGGGAAAGAGGCGGGACCAAGGCGAAAAGGGCGTGGTCTGGGCAGAATCGTGGCGCTGATTGGTGAAGAGCGGGCAGGGGCGTGGCCAGGACTCCCTGAGGGCGGTGGCGGCGAGAGGGGTCCGGGAGGGTCCGGCAGCCGGGAGAGGTGCGGGGAACGGGCTGGGGCTGCGGGACAGGGCCTGGATCCGTGAGGAGGGACCTGGGGGCCGGGGGAAGGGCCCTGGGGGCTGCGGGGAAAGAGCTGGGAGCTGTGTTAACGTGCCAGGAGCAGCGGAGCAGGTGCTGGGGGCTGTGGTGAGGCCCTAAAGGCCGAGGGCAGGAGGAGGATGGGGGGCTCTGGGATGGGCTGAAAGAGCTGAGGGAGAACTGGAGCTGCTGCAGTTCGTAAAGTGCATTCTGGAGAGGGATGGGCTGAGAGACAGGGGGTGGAAGAGGGAAGAGGGGGATCACCCTGTGCCCCTGCTTTAAACCAGCTCAGTGCTCCACCTGGACAGGCACTGATCCCACCTCTTTTTCCTTGGAATTTCAAAGGGGTTTCCGAAAAATCAGCACCAAAGAGCCAGGCCAGCACCTTTAGTTGTTGATTTAGTTTGGAAGAACAGGGAGCATTAACTCCCTCTCTTCGTCCTTCTTCAGCATAATGGCTTCAAAGCTTGATTTCTGGAACTAGAGATGTGTTATTTTATTGGGAATAAAAAATATTCTCCCTTTTTTCAAGGATTTTGGTGGACAGTGCCTCACCCAAGCCATGGCCACACGCCTCAGATCGGTGAGTTGGGGCCTCAAATGGTGCTTGGGGAAGTTTTGTCTTGCAGAAACAAATTCATAAATATTCTGCACATCACTAGGAAAGACATGAGGCTGATCCTGCATTAAAGTTAATTTTTGGGAGAAAACATGAATTTCCAAGGTATAATTTGGGTAGGTTGAATTCATACCTTAAAATCAATATTGACATGTAGCTTGGCTTGCCATAAATATTATGCTGTGCAATATCAAATTATAGAGAGTTCATAATAAAATTATATATAATTGTGGCTGTCCCTGGATCCCTGGAAGTGTCCAAGGCCAGGTTGGATGGGGCTTGGAGCAGCCTGGGGTAGTGGAAGTGTCCTTATGGAAGGTGGAATAAAATGAGCTTTAAAATCCTTCCTGAGCCAAACCAATCTGGGATCCTGGGATTCCTTTGCAGCCTCTGCAGTGCCCTGGGGCTCAGAGGCAGAGGGCAGCATTCTGCTGCAGTAAAACTTCACTTCAGGCACATCTCAGAGCAGTTTGGGTGCTCTTGGCTCCTGGAGAGTGCACGGCAATCAGGGAATGCCAAAACGGTGTGGGGTGGAAGGGACCTCATGGGAAGGGGTGCAGGGGGAAGGGAAATGTCCATGAAGGGAGTGTCTGCCTTTGAGGAGAGGCTGAAACATGTTTCTGTCAGTCCCCTCAGCAGCCATCCCCACCTCTGACTGAATCCCCTCATCTTCTCCAATGCCACATCTGTTCATTGGCTGAACACTTCCAGGGCTGGGGACTCCAGACCTCCCTGGGCAGCTGTGCCAGGGCTGGGCCACTCTTTCAGGGGAGGAATGTCCCCAATGCCACCCTGCCCTCCCCTGGCCCAGCTTGAGGCCGTTCCCTCTGCTCCTGTCCCTGTTCCCTGGAGCACAGTCTGACCCTCCTGGCTGTCCCCTCCTGTCAGGAGCTGTGCAGAGCCACAAGGGCCCCCTGAGCCTCCTTTGCTCCAGGCTCAGCCCCTTCCCAGCTCCTCTCCAGCCTCAGCCCCTTCCCAGCTCCCTCAGTCCCTTCCCAGCTCCTCTCCAGCCTCAGCCCCTTCCCAGCTGCTCCTCACAGGAGCTCCAGACCCTGACCAGACTCTCCTCTGCAAGGCCCATCCCAAATACCTGCAGCAGCTTTGACGTAACTCAGGGAGCTCCTCACATTTCTCTTGTGGATCACCCAACACTTGGCAGCAGAACCTTTATTTGAGGATGTGGCCTTTCAAGAGTTGTGAACAATCCCTGTCTTTGTGTGGCTCCCTCAGAGCTCTGTGCAGAGGTGGGGGTTGTGTTACAACCAGGAGTAAAACTCTCTCCAGGCAGCACAGAGCATTCTTTGTGTAACAGCTCCCTGGGTCTCAGGGCCTGGATGTTCTGTGCTGCCAGTGAGGTCCTTGGGCTCAGTCCAGTCAGACGAGTGGCCAGACTGAACTCTGTTAATTAGTGACTCCAATCACTGATTTACAAAGCCTAAAGAAAGAGAAAGGAAGGACTGATGGCCCAAAAGGACAGCCCCTGCCTTTACCTGGCTGCTTGCTTGGCCCTGAGTGTCACAGGGTCTGATCATGGTGATGGTTTTATGCTCTGAGGTAGCTGTGGCAGGAGGCTGAGGCGAATCACAGAATTACCCAGACTCCCAGGCTGCTCTGGGGTGGGAGGGACATAAAACTCCTCCAGTGCCACCCCTGCCCTGGCAGGGACAGCTCCCACTGTCCCAGGGTGATCCAGCCTGGCCTTGGGCACTGCCAGGGATCCAGGGGCAGCCACAGCCGCTCTGAGCACTGTGCCAGGGCCTGCCCCCCTCCCAGGGAACAACTCCTTCCCAATATCCCAATATCCCACCCATCCCTGCCCCCTGGCAGTGGGAGCCATTCCCTGTGTCCTGCCTCTCTGTGCTCTTGTAAACCATCTCTCTCCATCTTGCAGGCTCCCTTCACATTCTGTTTGCTTTGCTACCCAAGCAAAGTTCATGGGGACCAATCTTCTTTTCCTTCTATCCTCCCTGAACCTCCTGGTTGTGAGCAGGAGGCAGAGTCCTTCCAGAACCCCAAAATCGGAGTGTCTGCACCCATAACTCCCTGGGACAGCACAGAGCTTTGATGTCCGAGTTCAGATTCCTCTGGTGGAGCTGCTAAGCAGAACTGCAGCTCACTGAGCCCCAGGGAAGCTCAGGCTGGTTGCTTTGTGTGTCAGGGAGGCTCTCCCTGCCCTGTCCTGACCTGTCCCTGTCTGTTGAAAGCGAAGGGAGCCAACCCATCTTTGTTGATCAGCATCAACTCCAATTTATTGATCAAATCAGCCACCTTTTATAACAGTGTTAATTGACTTCATGCATATTGCAAAATTTGAGCTCACGATAGGCTACAGAGAAAACTCTAACCCCTCCTTTTGTTTACAATACCTGTGGTTTGTTTATTGAAACCAGAATCAGTGTTCTCACCGTGTTATGAAAAATTCTCAAAACCTTCATATCTGTTCCCAGAGCAGCTATCTGTTCCAGTAGCAGCCAAGGACAGAATGTGTGCCTGTTATGAGAAGACTGTCTGAGAATCTTATTGTTTATAGAATTGCTTGAGAACCTAATTATTTACAGAATCAAGCCTGGGAAATGCTGCTTTACAGCTACCTTTTACTTTCCCATCAGCTGTATACCTTCATGGCCTCTTTCTTTAAGCCATTCTTGAACCAGGCTCTCCACACCTGTCCCTGTCCCATCCCTGCAGGCTGGCAGGAGCTGCACCGTGATCGGGGGCTCGGGGTTCCTGGGGCAGCACATGGTGGAGCAGCTGCTGGCCAGGGGCTACAGCGTCAACGTCTTCGACATCCAGCAGAGCTTCCAGAGTGAGCAGGTGACCTTCTTCCTGGGAGACCTGTGTGACAAGGAGGTGAGCAAGGAACAGGGGCACATGCAGGCCTTGCACTTTTCCTTGGAAGCCTCTGAAGGAAACACATCTGGTGTCTGATATCTGGATCCTGCTGCCAGCTGGAAAGAGCAGGACTGTGACAGTGCTCACAGGGGTCTGAGGATGAGGGAAGAGATGAGGATCTGACTCCATGTTTCAGAAGGCTGATTTATTATTTTATGATGTATATTATATTAAAACTATACTAAAAGAATAGAAGAAAGGATTTCATCAGAAGGAAAGACTGATAACAAAGGCTTGTGTCTGGGACAGAGAGTCTGAGCCAGCTGACTGTGATTGGCCATTAATTAGAAACAACCACATGAGACCAATCCCAGATGCACCTGTTGCATTCCACAGCAGCAGATAATCAATGTTTGCATTTTGTTCCTGAGGCCTCCCAGCTTCTCAGGAGGAAAAATCCTAAGGAAAGGCGTTTTCATAAAATGTGTCTGTGACACAGGACTGCTTTGTGCCTGGTGCCTTGCATTACTGTGAGCTGAGATTTTACATGACATTACTGTGAACTGAGATTTACAGGGTAATTACAGCCCCTGGGCTAATTGCAGGAGGCTCTCCCAGCTCCATGAGAGGACACAGCTCATATTCCCAACAGTCAGGGCAGGATGAGAGGGAGCCTTGGCCATGACCTGTGTGAGCCATGTGAGAGGTGACTTTGGGACAGTCACCTGCACTCAGCCAGTGCCATGGGGAGCTTTAAACCTGCTGCTTCCTCAGGGACCCAACTCCAGGGAGTCCTGAGCCTTGTACCTGCACCTGGGGATTGCAGGGAGTGCAGCCTGGCCAGCCTCCAGCTCTGGGGAAGCTGCCAGGATTTCCCTGGGAAGAAGAGAGGATGTGGTGTGTGCTGAGGACATTGTGAAGATCCTGGATGCTAATCCCATCCAGCTGCCCACCTTTATGGAGGAACATGGTTTGAAATGCAGCTGTTTCCATGAAAAAAGCTGGTTTATTTCCCTGCTGTTATTTTTTCCTGATGGCTGTTGCTCCATTCCCTTCTCCCCCGTGTTTCCTGCAGGCTCTGCTGCCAGCCCTGCAAGGGGTGTCTGTGGTGTTCCACTGTGCCTCACCAGCCCCTTCCAGTGACAACAGGGAGCTGTTCTACAAGGTGAATTTTATGGGAACCAAGGCAGTCATTGAAGCCTGCAAAGAAGCTGGAGTGCAGGTAAAGCTGGAAAAGCCCTGAGAGCAGGAGGGGCTGATGGACTTTGTGACATTGCAGCACAGGCCAGGGTCAGCCTTGTCTGAGAGGGGACAAAGGGCCCTGTGATACTGAATTCCCACTTGGCCCATGTAAACCAGTGGAGAGAGACTCTGGGTCTCCTGCTTAGTGTAAATGCAATCCCTGCTTGCCACAGAAAACCACATTGTGATTGGAATGGAAAAGCTTCAATTAAAATCTGGCCTGGGAGAGTCACCCTGGGAGAACAACACCTCACAAGTGGCTTCTTGCCTGCTCTCATAAGGGGACAGCCCAGAGATGGCTTTTCCAGCAGAGGGAATATTCATGGCATCAACTCCCTCCCTGAATTCCTCACCATGGAATGAGGAGGAACTCACTTGTGCCACAATCTCAGTGCCTTTTAGTTTAGAAAGTCAATTGCCCACAAAAGGAAGAGTCTGAGGAAGCCAGCTTGGAACTGGAGACTGAATTTTCTCCCTAAATTACCTTGATATCCCATGAGTTTTCATTTAAATTAATTTATTTCATTTATTTTAAATTTATTATATTCATTTAATTTATTTTAATTTCATTTAAGTCACCAAACAAAAACATCCAAGGTTTCTTTTTTTTGTTAAATCCACTGTGATCTGCTATTGCCAAGATGAGCAAATCTTTGTTTAAAACACTGGGGGTGTGTTAAGTGTTCCAAGCCTCTGATTTTCCTGGAGATGTTTCCCCTGCACTGACTGCCTTGGGGGTTTGTTGGAATGTTTTAATCTCCTTTAGGTAGCATTAAATGATGGGACAGAATGAATTAAAAAGGGGGAATTCTCTCACCTGCAGTTTCTATTCATCTTCTGTTAGACTCAGGTTATTTTCTATAGGATCAGTTGGTTAAATATTATCATTATTATCATTATTACCATTGTTATCTTTACTCAGCCTTTGTCAATAATGACCTTTTTATTTTAGGCTTTAAACAACTCTTTTCTCCCCTATCTCTTGCAGAAATTGGTGTTAACCAGCAGTGCCAGTGTAGTTTTTGAGGGCACAGACATAAAAAATGGCTCAGAAGATCTGCCCTATGCACAAAAACCTATTGATTACTACACAGAGACCAAGATCCTGCAGGAGAAGGTATTTGCCAATGGTTAAATTGTTATTTTGGGTGTATTCACTTAATAAAAAGAGAACAAAATTAAGCTGTGGCATGAAATGCTGTGTGACACTTCCAGGGGTGTCACTGCCATGGAGGAGCCACAGGATAATCCCAGTTCTCTGCCACAGCTTTGGTTTCACAGCACTCGGGGAGGTTTTTGTCCTCTCTGCTGCTTTTCCTGATTTTTATGCTGAATTTGGAATTGGGAATGTGAAAAAGGCACTGAGTGAGGAGGAGAGGAGGTGGGAACATGGCCTGAGCTGAGGGGCACAGCCATTACTGAAAATATTCATGTTAAAAAAAGATCTCCAAACATCTGAGAGTTCACTGCTTTGGCCACTTGCACAGCACCAGTATCTGCTCTTCCCCTGCTCTTACTGCTGCAGCATCTGTGGTTTAAATGTGGGATAACAATGTTTTCAATCAAAGGCAGCAGACCTTTTCTGGATCCTTTTTCCATGGCTTGCACTCAGCTGGGGAAGAATCTGTGCTTTTGATGCCAGGAGAATTGAGATTCCCTTCCATGCTGATGCTGACAGTGTGAGAGGCTGGAAGGAATTTCCTCCACTGGAGCTTCATTAATTTGAATTGTGCAAACATCTGTTCCTTCCCCAGAACTTTGCAGTAGCTGATAAAGGGGAAGCTGAGGAGCAGCAATCAGGGGCAGCCCCAGTGCTGCTGATTGTGGCTTTGTTTTGGGGGAAACTCAAAGGATTTTGCCTGTGCCTCCTCCATAGAAATCCCAGCAGCTGCTGGAAATGCAAACACGTTGTTTAGGAACTCCCAAGGGAATGAAATCTGCTCCAGAGCTGCTGAATGTGCTGCTGGAGCTCCAGGGAGGTGGGATCGCCCCCTCCTGAGGCAGATCCAGGAGGGCTGGGGTGGGTACAGCTGGGAGGGACAGAAATGGAATTCCTGAGTGTCCTCTGCTCCAGCTCCTGCACAGGGTTCATGGAATGGAGGAGCTTGGAGAGCTCCTCTAGCTTCTGGGGTGTTCAAATAGAAAAGCAAAGCCTTCCCTTCCCTTCCTTTGTCAATTCATTAAGTGCTCAACCATAAAAACTGGTTTGTGTCTGCTTTCTTATCAAGGAGAGCTGGGAAAAGAGATGGGAACAAAGGAAGGATCACTTGGAAAGGCAGGAGGAGATAATAATTCTTCCACTGGTTCTTCCCAGGGAGATGGGGAGCCCCCAGCCCCTTCAGTGATGCTTGTGGGATGTTGGGACCCTGGGTGCTGAGAATTTCACACTTTCAGTGCTGCCAGGAGAGCCCTGCATTGATCTGAGGCTGTGGAGAAGCTTCCAGAATGGAATGACAGAGCTGGGATTGTGGGTGTGGAGTCTGGATAGAAGTGTGTGATATCACAGGCTGGGAAACTTAGGGTTTAAGGGTTTAGAATATAGCAATATATATAAAACAAGATGGAGGTTTTAGAGGAGAGGCTGGTCCTTCTTTTCCACCTTCTTCTCCACCTTCTTCTCCACCTTCTTCTCCATGGGTTTGGGTGGTTTTATGTAATTGGATAAAAAAGTCCCCATTGCAGGCCATGGGTGGTTGGTTATTGGGTTAAAAATAACAATAGTTTAGGTGTCATTTCTTAACTGGACAGTTTATCCTTAAAAGGCCTTGTAGAGAGAGAGCTGGGGCTCCAATTTTAGTTTGTTAGAGAGAAGTGCTGTAGAACTCAGGCTTTTTGAGATTGTAACATAAATAAATATCCGAGTCCCAACAAGAAATACCATCTCCCAATTTAATCCCAACCCTGGCAGAAAAGAAGTTAAGGCTCTACCATGGGATGCATTGCTGAGCTCTGTTTTCCTTCTTGATTTCCTTCTCCTGTTTCCCTGCAGGAGGTGCTCAGTGCAAACGACCCAGACAAGAATTTCCTCACCACTGCAATCCGTCCCCATGGAATCTTTGGTCCCAGGGACCCTCAGCTGGTGCCCATCCTCATCCAGGCAGCTCGGAGTGGCAAAATGAAGTTCATCATTGGGTGAGCAAGGCCCAGGCATTTCAGAGCTGGGGCAAAATCAATGCTGGCTCTACAAAGCCCTTTTGGAAGGAAACAAAAGGAAATCAATTGTGTTGTTTCTGTTATTTTTTACTTTCCAGGTTTTTTTTTCCTTAAAAATCCTGTGGCAGGGGCTCACTCCCTGCCATGGTGAGTGTCCATCATGCCAGAGGAATATCCATGAGAAAAGCTGGTATGGATTGAGCTGTTAAAGAGCTGTGCCATTCATATGAGACAGCTCAGATTACTTGCTGGTAATTTATACCACTTGTGGTCTTTGAGGTTCTGGCAATTAAAATCCTTATTAAATATGAAACACTAAAAGTATGGCCTGCAATTGCAGCACCAGAGAGTGGGAGAAGAGGAAACTTGGGATGAATTTATCCTGCTGGAAGTCCTTTTTGCCTCAAGCAGATTCTCAGCCCAGCTTGCCTTGGGGCTAAATTCCTTTTCTGTGTGCAGGGATGGAAAGAACCTGGTGGATTTCACCTACGTGGAGAACGTGGTGCATGGGCACATCCTGGCTGCAGAAAAGCTGCACAAAGGCTCCCCCCTGTGTGGGAAGGTGAGAAGGGAGGGGAGGGAAGGGATCTCCAGCCTCTGCTGTGGCATCCATGCTGATTCCTCAGGGCCCTGCACATCATCCTGCAGGCCAGCAGCTCCAGGTTTTCCATCTGTGGGGAGCATTGAGTGCAGCCAGCTGGGCTTAGCTGGATGGATATCCTGGAATTCCCTGCTCTAAAACTCCTTGGGAAGGGCAATCCAGGCAGAACTGGGGGCAGCCAGGAGGCACACATGGAAACACAGCAGCTTTTGGGACACAGTTCAGAACAGGAGGAGCTTTTCCAGCTTTTCCTAGTCCTGCTGTGCTCTGGGCTCACTGGGGTATTTTAAGATGTCTGCTCTGTGCTGTGGCAGCCAGTTTGGTTGACATTTATGAGGAATCCTGGCCTCTGGGGTGCTGGAAGTAGCTGGTTTCCTTGGAAGAGCAGGGATTCCCCCCTCTTCACACAGAAATGTGCAGTGCAAAGCAGTTTGTCAGGATGGTGTGTGCTCTGGCCCAGGTCAGGGGTGTGATGTCCTCACATGAGCAGGAGAGGGGCCAGCACAGAGCCAAACCTGGGAAATCCACTGTGACAGTGGTCACAAGGGTCTTCAGGGTGAGAGAGAGATGAGAACGTTGACCTCATGTTCAGAAGGCTTGATTTATTATTTTATGATATATATACTACATTATAACTATACTAAAAAGAAATAGAAGGAAAAGTTCTCAGAAGCTAGCTAAGCTAGGAATAGAAAAGGAATGAATAACAAAGGTCTGTGTCTCAGCACAGAGTGAGACCCAGCTCTGCCATGAGTTGTCAGTAAATCCAAACATCCACAGGAGATCCACCTGTTGCATTCCACAGCAGCAGATAACCACTGTTTACACTTTGTTGCTGAAAATTCTCAGCTTCAGCAGGAAAAATCCTAACGAAAGGATTTTAATGAAAAGATGTCTGTGACAATCCACCACGATTTTAACCCCTGGTTACTCCTCTCCTTTCTTCCAGGCCTTTCACATCACCAACGATGAACCCATTCCCTTCTGGACCTTCATGTCCCGCATCCTGACCGGCCTGGACTACGACCCTCCCAAGTACCACATTCCCTACTGGCTGGCCTATTACCTGGCCCTGCTGCTGGCCCTGCTGCTGGCCCTGCTCAGGCCCCTGGTGACCATCAAGGCCACCTTCACTCCCATGAGGGTGGCCCTTGCTGGCACCTTCCACTACTACAGCTGTGAGAGGGCCAAGAGGGCCATGGGCTACAGCCCCGTGGTCAGCCTGGACGAGGCCATCGCCAGGACTGTGCAGAGCTACCCCAGCCTGCGCCGGGCCAGGGCCTGACTCCCTGCCTGGAGCCTCTCCAGCCTGTCTGCCACCATTTCTGACAGCTCAACATGGAGCACAGGGCAGCAGTTCCCAGGAAAGGGCATTGAAGTGAAGGGAGACGACCATCTGATTGATGAGCATCGACTCCAATTTATTGATCAAATCAGCCACCTTTTATAACAGTGTTAATTAACTTCATGCATATTGCAAAATTTGAGCTCACGATAGGTTACAGAGAAAACTCTAACCCCTCCTTTTGTTTACAATACCTGTGGTTTGTTTATTGAAAACAGGATCAGTGTTCTCACTGTGATATGAAAAGTTCTCAAAACCTTCATATCTGTTCCCAGAGCAGCTATCTGTTCCTAGTAGCAGCCAAGGACGGAATGTTTGCCTGTTATGAGAAGACTGTCTGAGAATCTTATTGTTTATAAAATTGCTTGGGAACCTAATTATTTACAGAATCAAGCCTGGGAAATGCTGCTTTACAGCTACCTTTTACTTTCCCATCAGCTGTATACCTTCATGGCCTCTTTCTTTAAGCCATTCTTGAACCAGGCTCTCCACAGAAAGGGGAGTTTTCTGAAGTCTCTGCTCCTCCTCCTCCTCCTCGTCATTCCGTGTGGGAGCTGTGCTGACAGTTTGTTTCTTGGATGTGACCTCGCGTTTGGAAACTGCTGCTGAACTCTCTGGGCTGTGAATAAACACCCTGCTGTGCCCTCTTCAATCCTGAGCAGGCACACCAGCATTCCTGCTCCCTTCCCTCCACCCTTGTCCCGTGTTTTGTTGCTCTGGTGACAGCAGCCACCCCTTCCCAGAGCTGGGGCACAAACACCTCCTGGGGCTGGCTCCCCTCTGCACTTTGGCTTTGCTCTCCACAAGAGAGTCCAGTGCCAGAAAAGACTTCTGCCACCATCTCCTAAATCATTGCAGCTCTTCTGGTTTTCCCTCCATGATCAGGGGGAGGTCTGGCTTCTCCCTGAGGCAGCAGAAGGAAGCCACAAGGAGTGTGTTCACTTGTGGCTTCATTCCTTTGTCCATGCAGGATTTATTTCTGTTCCAGAAGAAGCCAAGTAAATCACACAGAGCTGACACTGCAGCTTTGTGTCCCATCTCTGAGAGGGCAGATCCCACTCTCAGCACAAACAGGATGTAAATGATTCGCTTTTGGGGCAGGGATCTTTGGGAGCTGCCTTTGAGCAGCCCCAGCACTGTTCTGCGGATCTGCAGTGCTGGGAAGATCTGCAGCCCCAAGCTGCTCCTCCCTGCCCTGCCAGTGCTGCTCACAGGGATTTTTGGTGCTCTGACCACTTAGTCCATGAAAAATCCCTTTTTCCACAAGGAAATGGATACAAAGCAACAGTCCCCAAGCTATTTCCTTAGATTTGTATGTTAAATGTTCTTTGCCCTCTAATCTTTCTAAGCACTTCAGTTCTGGTTTGGTTTTAAATGAGGGGTTTAGGTTTGAGCTGGAGTTTTGCCCTGTGCAAATTCCTGGATCCCTGGCAGTTCTGGTGTTTCAAATTTCAGAAGGATGGGAAATGCCTCAATCTCAGAGTTATGGAATCCCAGGATGGTTTGGGTTGGGAGGGACCTTAAAGCTCATCCCATTCCACCCCCAGGGACACCTTCCACTGTCCCAAGCTGCTCCAAGCCCTATCCAACCTGGCCTGGACACTTCCAGGGATCCAGGGGCAGCAACAATCTCCTGAACCTCAATGTGCTGCTATAGTCTGATTAAATATCTGATTAAATGGGTTTTATTTGAAATTCTGGCTGTTTTCTGGGGGGGAAAAAACCCACACTGGGCTTTTTTTCCTGGGAACTTTGATTTGCTGGTTAACAGCTGGTTTTACCAACCTTGGTCTGCAGCAATCCCTATCCAGGTGCTTGGGGCAGCTGCCCTCACCCTGCTGGGCACGGCCCAGCCCCGGGGCAGGGAATGGGGTCTGGTGGAAGGGGAAGGATCCAGGATCTCCCAAAGCCAAACCAGAGGTAAATCACTACATCCCTGTTGGATTATGCCCTTTTCTGACTTAGAGATGGGGCAGCTGAGAGGCATCTGAAAAACTTTTACTCCATTTTCGGTCTCGTGAAGAGTGAGACAATACAGATGTTCAAATTCATACTATTACAATCAGAAACTTTCTATCAAACTTTTAAAATTCTCTACAAATTCATTGCCCACACATCACCTTCGGCCTCTAGGGGGCATTTCCCAGCCCGGCAGCTCCAATCCGCCCCAAAAATGCTGTGGCTGTGCCTGGACACAGGGCAGGGCAGGGTCACTGCTCTCCCTGTCCTGGCAGGGGGAGCTGAAGGCCCTGGAAGCTCAGCTGGGCCAGAGAGGGGTTCAGAGAGGGGGTCCCTATCCCAGGGAGGGACCCAGAGCTTTGCTGGGCTGGGGAGCAGCACCTAGGGCAGGCTGTGCACACCTGGCTGGGGACAGTGACAAGGGCAGGCATTGCACACCTGGGCTGGGGAGCAGTGACAAGGTGGCACTGAGGGCTGTGCACACCTGGCTGGGGACAGTGACAAGGTGGCACCCAGGGCAGGCTGTGCACACCTGGGCTGGGGACAGTGACAAGGTGGCACCCAGGGCAGGGCTGTGCACACCTGGGCTGGCAGCTCTCCCAGTGCAGTCAGGGAGCTGCCAGGTTCCTCTGGCTCTGAGCACTGCTGTTTCCCAAGCCCAGGTAAACAGGGAGTGCTGGAGCCTGGCTGTGCCTCCATCCCTGGCCACAACACAGCAGAGCTTTGCTCCATCCACAGCCTCTCCAGCCCTGCTCCAGCTCCTCCTCTTGTTTTCCAGCTCTAACAGGCATAAATCCTGTCCTGGATTTTGGGGCAGTGATGAGATGCCGCTGTTGTGCCCTGCCTGGATGTGTTTTTGTGCCACCTCTTCAGCACTGGGAGGGTGTGGAGCTGCTGGAGCGAGTCCAGAGGAGGCACCAGGATGCTCAGGGGGATGGAGCAGCTGTGCTGGGAGGAAAGGCTGAGGGAATTGGGATGGTGCAGCCTGGACAGGAGAAGCTTTGGGGTGACCTCAGTGTGGCCTTGCAGGGCCTGAAGGAGCCGACTGGAAACATGGAGAGAGACAATTCACAAGGGAGGGAGGGACAGGACACAGGGAAGGGTTAGGTGGGATATTGGGAATTGGGAATTGTTCCCTGTGAGGGTGGGCAGGCCCTGGCCCAGGTGCCCAGAGCAGTTGTGGCTGTCCCTGGATCCCTGGCAGTGCCCCAAGGCCAGGCTGGACATTGGGACACCTTGGGACAGTGGGATGTGTCCCTGCCATGGCAGGGGTGGCACTGGGTGGGCTTTGAGGTCCCTTCCCACCCAAACCATTGTGGGATTTTTATGGCTTCAGTTTCTATTCTGTGTGTGTCAGCGAGCAGAGGCTGTGAAGCAAAATTGCCATTATCAAACTTTCCTTCCAAACATGCAGGATCAAATGCAGGTGCAGTCTGTCCCTGTCAGAACACTCAACAGGAGCTCCCCACGACTTCAAAGAGTTCCCTGGAGCACTCTCATCAAACTCCTTATCTCCCTCTCTCTGCTTCCCTGGCTTTTCCTGCTGCAGCTCCTCATTTTGCTGACCTGAGATTGGTTTTGGCTCTGGGAGAGATAAGGAGAGATCTTCTGTTGCTTATCCTGGAGAAGTGAGAGGGAGGGAAGGGAGAGGGATTACAAGTGCTTCTCTAGGTGGGGTTAAGGTGACCAAAACCTCCATTCCCCTCTCACAGGGATTGCAGAGGGAACTTGCTCAGGAGGATTGACCAAGGAATTCCTTTCAGTGCTGCCCTTGGAAGGTGGGGGAAGCCCTGGTCCAGACACACCTCCAGAGAGGGGAAAAGGTGGATTGGGTGTAATTACCAGAAATAGGTAAGAGGAAAAATGGATGAAAGCAGATCAGAAATGACCATGCATGTCCAGGGAGCAAAAAGGCTCAGGGAGCACTGCAGGGTGTGCAGGAGGTGTCCAGGGCCGGGCTGGACAGGGCTGGGAGCAAGCTGGGACAGTGGAAGGAGCAAGCTGGGACAGTGGGAGGTGTCCCTGCCCATGGGGTGGAACAGGAGGGGCTTTGAGGTCCCTTCCAAGCCACAGCATTCCATGATTCAGTGAGGTTTGGGGGCAGTGTGCCACGTGCACCCTGCAAGCACTGGGGGATCCCAGACACAGGATCCAGCCACGCTGCAGGGCTCCAGCTCAGCGTTTTGGGGAGCTGTGGAAGGGGTGTCTTCCATCCCAGTACACCCAGTTACCCCCGTGTGCTGGTGGCAGGGAGCACAGGACATTCCCACAGCCCCAGCCGGGGCAGGCTGGGCTGGCTCTGCTTCCCGGGAGAATTCTCTCCCAGTTTCGCTGTGCTTGTGCAAGCCCCGGGCCGGTGCCAGGCCCACGGGGTGAGTGGTGCAACCCTGCCCTGTCAGGGCAGGGGGAAGAGCAGCTTGTTTGCCTCAGAGCCTGCAGGGAGCTGGCCGAGCTGCTGAGGATAAATCAGCATCTCCTGCTTGCGCCACAGCGGCTTTGGGAGTTGTGGTGGCACCGCGGTGTCCCCGCCACAGCTCTGCCTCTGCCGTGCCCCAGCTCTGCTGACAGCACCACTTTGTGTTGTGCTGGCACTCCTGAGCCCCAGGAGGGTGCAGGTGTGTCCCTGAGCACGGGCAGGTTGCTGTATTCCTGCAGGGAATCCTTGGGACACACAATGCCCTGCTGCCACCTGCTATTAGGAAGGTGAGGCCTGGCGTTCTGGCAGAGCTCTGCAGTGACACCTCATGAAAAACCAGTTGGATTCCCTTGTAACAAATGGGTGTAGTGGTTTTACACCCTGCGACTCATCACGGCTGGGCTTGGGGCTGGTGGCACCTCTGCAAAGCCCTGGGCACTGTGGGGTTCAGCCCTGCCCTCCTCCTCAGCACCAGCACCAGGGAGGGGCTGCACAGAGTGCAGGAAATGTTCCAGGGCAGCTCTGGGCTCTGGAGTGGGCTTGGTGGATTCCTCACCACCAGAAAATACATACCAGAAAATGTTACAGGATGTTGCTGTGGCTGTTCAAACACAGGCTGGGCTCTGAGGCTGTCTCTGGGCAGGA